GAAAGTTTTTTGTTTTTTGTTTTGGAGATTGTTTGGGATTGAACAATATAATTGTAGTTTTTTATTACTGTGTTTTGGTAATCACTTCCTCCGTGTTTAACTTCAAATATGAGCGTTCCTGTAGACAAATTAATGTTTATGCATATTCTGGAATACAAGTTTATCTGTTTGTCATTAGTTATTTTCCACAATATTTTCAATTGTGTTATTGGAATGATAAATATGTGGTTAATCCGGTAATTGGATAATCAGCTGTTTAATAAGTTTCAAAATTCGAAATTTTAATTGTATAATCAGCTGATTTAATTACTTTTTATGTTGGAATGCGTCATCTGATCTAAAATTCGAAATTTGAAATGGTTTAAAATTTTGAATTTAAATATGGATGGTGGAAAAAAAATTCTTTTAAAAATCGAATTTTTATTTTTTAAATCGAATAATTTAATGACCATTTGTGGTGGCAGACAAGGCATTGAATGTCCCACTGTCCATCACATTGGTATTCAAAAAGAAATCAACTGTTTTAATTGCTTTTTATGTTGAAATTGGTCATCTGATCTAAAATTTGAAATTTGAAATGTTTTAAAATTTTGAATTTAAATATGGATGGTTAGAAAAGAATTTCTTTTAAAAATCAAATTTTAATTTTTAAATCGAATAATTAAATGACCATTTGTGGTGGCAGACATAAAAGAATATGGTTTTGAAATTCGAAATTTTAATTGGATAATCAGGTGTTTTAATTACTTTTTATGTTGGAATTGGTGGTCTCATCTAAAATTCAAAATTTGAAATGGTTTAAAAATTTTAATTTAAATATGGATGGTGGGAAAATAATATCTTTTAAAAATCGAATAATTTAATGACCATTTGTGGTGGCAGTCAAGGCATTTAATGTCCCACTGCCCATCACATTGGTATCCAAAAAGAAAACAGCTGTTTTAATTGTTTTTTATGTTGGAATTGGTCATCTCATCTGAAATTCGAAATTTTAAATGGTTTATCAATTAAATTTCAAAATTATGTATTTATTTTGCACAATCTGAAATTTAAAATTTTAAATTCAATAAAAAGAAAACTATTTTCACGGACATGCATTCACGATCTCTATTCATGGAGATCAATAGAAACAAAAACAAATTTCACAATTGTTGAAGACCTGATTGTCATTCAATTCACAATTTCGTTATGGTTATTTTTTAAATAATATATACACAATAATGATATAACAAAGACATTATCTTTGTTATATATTTGATTCAAATATCATAACAATCAAGAATCAAGAGAGCTGACAGAAAAAATAAATTAGATAATCAGGTGTTTTAATTGCTTTTTATGTTGGAATTGGTTGTCAGATCCGAAATTCGAAATTTGAAATGGTTTAAAATTTTGAATTTAAATATGGATGGTGGGAAAAGAATTTCTTTTAAAAATCGAATTTAAATTTTTAAATTGAATAATTAAATGACCGTTTGTGGTGACAAATATAAAAGAATAATTAATTAATAAATATGACAGTTTCTTTTTGAAAGAAGAGCATGACAGACTACTGAATTCACTCACTGATGAGCAGAGGGTTGTTTATGACAAAATAATTTCAGCTGTCTCGGCAGGTAAAGGAGGAATTTTTTTTCCTGTACGGCTTTGGTGGGACTGGAAAAACATTTATTTGGAACACCCTATTAGCATTTGTTCGATCTCGAGCTGAAATAGTGTTTAATGTTGCTTCTAGCGGAATTGCTTCACTTCTTCCTGGAGGACGTACGACACATTCTAGATTTCGTATTCCTATACAAATCACCGAAGATTCAACATGTAATATAAAACAAAATTCTACTTTGGCAGAGTTGTTGTCAAAAACAAAGTTAATCATTTGGGATGGAGCACCGATGGTACACAAATTACACAAATTTTGCATTGAGGCTCTTGATAGAACACTTAGAGATGTTCTTAGCTGTGTTGATATGCCCTTTGGTGGAAAAGTTGTCGTTCTAGGAGGTGACTTTCGGTAAATATTACCTGTCATTTCAAATGGCAGTAGAGAAGATATAGTTCATGCAACCATCAATTCTTCTTATCTATAGTCCCATTGTCATCTGTTATCTTTGACCAAGAACATGCGTCTCAATTCTGGAAGTAGCACTAATAATTTGTTGGAAATAAAAGAATTTTCTGAGTGGCTGCTTAAAATAGGAGATGGTGATCTTGGGGATGATGTTGATGGAGAATCTATTATAACAATTCCAGATGAATTGTTGATCAAAGGTTCAGAAGACCCACTTTCAGATATTGTTGATTTTGTTTACCCGAATCTGATGGATAATATATTAGATCCTACTTTCTTTAAAGAACGTGCTCTTCTGACTCCTAAATTGTCCGATGTTGCCATGTTAAACGAGCACCTAATGGCTGTGATTCCGAGTAAAGAAAGGACATTATTGAGTTCAGATAAGGTTTTGAAACAAGACGGTAATTCATCTCTTGAGGGTGACGAAATCTCCCCTGATATCTTAAATACATTCTCATGTTCGGGAATTCCTGATCATATATTAACTTTGAAGGTTAAAGTACCAGTGATGCTATTGAGAAATATTGATCAATCAAGAGGTTTATGCAACGGTACGAGATTACTTATTACAAAGTTGGGGAATCATGTTGTTGAGGCAGTTGTTCTTACAGGAAACAATATAGGAGATACTGTGTTAATCCCTAGAATGACGATCAGCCCATCGGGTCATACATTTCCAGTAAACTTCCAAAGAAGACAATTCCCATTGGTAGTTTCGTTTGCGATGACTATCAACAAAAGTCAAGGACAATCGCTGTCTCATGTTGGCATTTATCTTCCTAGGTCTGTCTTCACTCATGGGCAATTATATGTGGCACTATCTAGAGTAAAGAGCAGACATGGATTGAAGATGCTGATACTTGATGAAAATGGTTGCGTTACAAATACTACCTTTAACATCGTCTACAAGGAAGTATTTCAAAGATTAGTGTAGTATACTTGGTTATTTCTACAAAGAGATAACATTGTTGTTTGGTATCAGGTAAGATCTCAATTTTTTATCAGAAAATATTTTTTAATCTTCTTTGTTGATTTCTTTTAGTTGTTATGCCTATTTTTCTGCTAATTTTTTATTGTTATGCAGATTCAGTATTCGAGGCACAATCAGTATATTATTCCCTTGTCATTTTTCAGAGTCAAAGATTTTTCATTGTAATTCTGAATTATTCATCTGCCTAAACTATATAATTCCCTTCAATAATTTTTTCTTTTCCAAATATTGTTTATGATTCATTTCGAACAGCAGCAAATACCAATAGTGCATGGCGGACGATTTTACAACTGTTGTGAGTATCGGTTGCGCATATTTCTTATTATATTGCTGTCAACATGACATTTATATTTTTTTAATGGAGATTTTGTTGTCAACCATGGAATTTACCGTGTTTAAACTATTATATTCTATTTTTTGTTCCTACCTTAAAAGTTACATGTTTATGTCATACGAACAAACCGATTTTTTTATTAATTCGTTTACGGACAAACAAACCATTTTTTTTTCATGCGTCGCACGGGTAATCAACTAGTTTCCATATATAATTATAAGTTTTAGAAATAACAACGGAGCAACGAAGGAGTCCGCTCCGGTTTGGAGCAACAAAATACACGTGCAATTCGCTTATGCTCATAAAGGTATTGGAACTCTTTCTTCACCCATTCCAAATGAAAAATGGAGTATTAAGCAAACAAGAAAAATCAAATTCCAGATAAATCAAGATGCAGAGTTAAGTAAAAAAACAATGAAATTCCTGAGAAATCGAGATGCAGCGCTGAAATCAAAACCCCTTAGGAAGATTGTTCATAGGGAGGATCGGAGCCTTGTGAATGTCGGCGGGAAGGCGGAGGGGCTTGAGGCTGAGAAACTGGCGGCATAACTCCGACGGAGTGAAATCAGAAAACTTGGTGCCATAGGCGTCAGAGGGAACGACTTTCTTGTGCAACTGTGCAGAGGTCTAACTTGGTGCCGTATGTGTCAGAGGGAACGACTTTCTTGTGCAAATGTGCAGAAGTCTATCAGATAATTAGAGTCTCGTGCTGAAATCGTGTTGTAAAATAAATATACATAATTTGAAGAAAAATATGGAGAAGGGAGAGACAAAGGGAATATATTCTTATTGTGTTATGGTACCATTTGATGCTTTGTACATGCCTCTATTTATTAGCTCCCAATTACTTCTTGAGTAGTCACAGAACATTCAACGACAACCAACAGTCATATAATTTATAACAATATTCACAATATTTTTTTCTTTATAATTTGTTATACTTATTTTCAATGTTATATTAAAATCAAATTAGCAGTGGTAAAATTTTGAATTTAATTTTTATTTAATCGTAATAAAATAAGGGGAGGTTATAGTTACTACATTTTCTTACTATCTCTTACTACTAAGTCTTAACCGTTGATTTTCGTCAATCTAACGATTGTAATGTATTGGGTCATTACTATCAAATCTTAACCGTTGATTTTCGCCAGTCTAATGGTTATAATTATTGAAAATTAATAATTAATTAATAAGTATGACCCAATAAATTACAACCATTAGATTGATGGAAATCAACGATTAAGATTTAATAGTAAGATATAGTAAAAAAAAGAGGTAATAAGTATAACCTCTCTCGTAAAATAATTATAAAATGAAGTAAATACATTGTAATTAAATTACCTTCATAAAATTAGAGAAATTTTTTTATCATCGTTTCAAATTTACTACTCTTATCATTTGCCTCTTTAGTTATTATTAGACGAATTTGGAATCAATAGTTTACAGATTGAAAAAATTAACCATTGGAAATTACCTGTTTGGTTACCTTTTAAAATGTTGAAGTTTGGAAAAAAGAAAGGAAAAAAAAAAAACTGAGGCACAACAGTACTCGGGTTTGATTGATCTCATAGTGTTGCAATGGTTGTGATTTGAAAGTTGGTGACTCACAGTTGTTGGTGATTGATTCTCATGATTGGCATTCAGTTCAACTCGTAGCTTTTCCTTAGATGACCCAATTCTCATGTTCATTTCCACTTCAACTTCAAACATTTCGCAACCTTCTCAAACTCTGCATATCCCAAAGAGACCTCTTAACTGGGAAATCCCTTCACGCCCTCTACATCAAGTCCATTCCTTCCTCAACTTACATTTCCAACCACTTCACCCTCCTTTACTCCAAATGTGGCACCCTCCGCCATGCCCATTCCGCATTCTACATCACCAAATACCCCAATGTGTTCTCTTACAACACCATCATCAACGCCTATGTGAAAAACTCCCTCACCAATGTTGCCCGCCAACTGTTCGATCAAATTCCCCAACCGGACCTTGTGTCCTATAACACCCTCATTGCTGCTTATGCTGACCGCGTTGAGTGTGAGCAGGCTTTGAGGTTGTTTGAGGAAGTGAGAGAGATTGGTTTGGGCCTTGATGGGTTCACACTGTCCGGTGTGATCACGGCCTGCTGCAATGACATTGGCTTGATCAGGCAGCTGCATTGTTTTGCTGTGTTTGGTGGGTTTGATTCTTATGCTTCCGTGAATAATGCGGTCCTCACGTGTTATAGTAAGAAGGGTTTTTTGGGTGAGGCTAGGAGGGTGTTTTGTGAAATGGGGGTTGATGGAAGGGATGAGGTTTCGTGGAACTCGATGATCGTGGCGTGCGGGCAGCACCGGGAGGGATTGGAGGCGCTGGAATTGTTTCAGGAGATGGTTAGGATGGGATTGAAGGTTGACATGTTCACTATGGCTAGTGTTTTGACTGCTTTTACTTGTCTCAAGGATTTGGCAGGGGGAATGCAGTTTCATGCTAAAATGATTAAGTGTGGATTCCATAGGAACTCCCATGTTGGAAGTGGGTTGATTGACTTGTACTCCAAGTGTGCTGGTGGCATGTTGGAATGCAGGAAAGTGTTTGAGGAGATTCCTGTGCCGGATTTGGTTCTTTGGAACACAATGATTTCTGGGTTTTCCCTGAATGAGGACTTGTCTGAAGATGCTCTTTGTTGTTTCCGGGAGATGCAGCATGTTGGTTTTTGTCCGGATGATTGTAGTTTCGTGTGTGTAACTAGTGCATGTTCCAATTTGTCATCCCCCTCTGTGGGGAAACAGGTTCATGCATTAATAATCAAATCTGACATCCCTTATAATCGTGTTTCGGTGAATAATGCTCTTGTCGCAATGTATTCTAAATGTGGGAATCTTCAAGATGCAAGAAGGCTATTTGATAGGATGCCAGAACATAATACAGTATCACTGAATTCAATGATTGCAGGCTATGCACAACATGGTGTTGAGGTTGAATCACTCTGCCTCTTTGAACTGATGCTGCAAAAGGATATTGCACCTAACAGTATAACCTTCATATCTGTTCTTTCTGCATGTGCACACACTGGAAAAGTTGAGGAGGGTCAGAAATATTTCAATATGATGACAGAAAAGTTTGGGATTGAACCAGAAGCAGAACATTATTCATGCATGATAGATCTTTTGGGCCGGGCAGGCAAACTTAAGGAAGCTGAGAGGATTATTGAGACCATGCCATTTAATCCTGGTTCTATTGAATGGGCTGCTTTACTTGGTGCATGTAGGAAGCATGGAAATGTGGAGCTAGCGGTGAAAGCAGCCAATGAGTTCCTCAAGCTGGAACCTGATAGTGCTGCTCCATACGTAATGCTTTCAAATATGTATGCCAGTGCTGGCAGATGGGAAGAGTCTGCAACAGTTAAAAGGCTGATGCGGGAAAGAGGAGTGAAGAAGAAACCAGGTTGTAGTTGGATTGAGATAGATAAGAAGGTGCATGTCTTTGTGGCTGAAGACACTTCACATCCAATGATAAAAGAGATTCGTGAATACATGGGGGAGATGTTAAGTAAAATGAAGCAAGCAGGGTATGTGCCAGATATAAGATGGGCACTGGTGAAAGATGAAGAAGCAGCAGCAGAAGAGAAAGAAAGAAGGTTATTGCTTCACAGTGAGAAGCTGGCAGTTGCATTTGGTCTGATCTCCACCAAAGAAGGGGTGCCAATACTGGTTGTGAAGAACCTAAGAATTTGTGGTGATTGCCACAACGCCATCAAATTTATTTCAGCCATTGCCGGTAGGGAAATCACTGTTAGGGATGCTCACAGGTTTCATTGCTTTAAGGAAGGGCAATGTTCATGCAGGGATTATTGGTGATAATATAATCAAAGGTGCTATTTCGGTGGGAACATGAGTTAGACAGGTAAAGCAATTTTTTTTTTTTTTTGGGGGGAGGATATTATCGATTAATAAGGTTGAGTTAGGCGGGATCAGAGGGGCGGCAAAACTTTCCCTTAAAACTCAAATAGGCAGCTAAAGTTAATCTAATAACAGAAGAAATGACCGATATAGATTTTGTTTATCCACAGAATTTTATCAATACCAATTCTAAAAACCATAGCTGCATAATTTGCTGCTAAGTTTAACTGCGTGCTTGGAGAGCTTATTTGCAGAAGCCTACCAACAATTTTAGTTTGAGGTTGCTTCTCTTTTCAATTTAGAGTTATGTACTTCTCTATATAGTTGAAAGCCTGAAGTCAAGTTGATTTTCACTTGTTTGCATGTTGGGAGTCAATCTATCAAGGCCTCGTGCAATGGTACAGGGAAGCGATGCATTGGAAGACTTAACACAGCATGAAACATGAAACATTTAAGCGATAAACTTTTTCTTGGTCTTGGTTTATTTCAGGCTGTGGTTGAAATGAACCTTTGGAGTATGAACTCTACTTTGTCCTAAGTATAACCGCTCTCAAGTTTAAAATCTCAATCTCCAGAAAACTCTTGCCGTGTATGTTTTATCTTTAAGTGAATAGTTAAGACATTGCTTATCATCCCCTCGTCCCTTAGTCTTCTAGTATGAAAAACCTTAATGTGGGACTAGGATTGCCAAAGCAACATACTTCTGGGTGTCCATTCCTCCACTTTCTCTCTTCTTTTTCTTTTTCTTTTTCTTATCGAATAATCATTAACTATAAAATTTGAGGAAGAACCTTAGCATAAGTGGCATTGTTCCGGGATGAGTTACTGGATTGAGACCCCACGATCTTTTTGTTACCTCTTATGATGCACGGACACGGGACACGACACGACACGCCGACACGTTAATTTCAAAAAATGTCATATTTCGACACGTTAGGACATGTTTTGATATTAAATAAATTTTTTAATATATATAATATAATTTATATTTAATACATATAAGAGTTCATAATAAGTCATATAACCAATCAAATATTTAAATTTCATAACATAAATATAAATATAAATAATTTTTCCTACTTTGTTAATTTTTCATATCAAATTTCATAACAAAAAAAAATTAATTTATAAATTATTTCTTTTATATTTAGTTAACAAAATAAAATAAAATTTTTTTAAATAAAAAAAAAAAACGTGTCTGAACGTTGACCGAGTGTTAGAAAAAGTTGACCGCGTGTCGGAACGTGTCAGAGAGTATCCCCAAATATTGACCGCGTGTCTGAGCGTGTCCGTGTCGGACACGTGTCCAACACGCAAATATTTCTTCAACGAACGTGTGTCCCTGCTTTGAAGACCTCCACTACACCCACGATTACTATATCCCAGATTGTTGCCTTTCAATTGCCACCAGACCTCAACAAAAGGCTGGAAGAGTGTTAGGAGAAAACACAGTTATCCATTGAGCCCTCTATTATCATTAATCAGAGCATTCATTGATCCAAGGTGTTCACACACACACACTCTTAATTTTTCTCATCGGACTAGAGGTTAGAAGTACAGAACTTCCCTTGCGAGTCATCGCTTTCTCATTGCTCCATAGATAAAAAAAAACTAACATCCCTTGCTCGACATAGCTTGTTCAACATCCTGAACAGGCCATCAAGTCCCTTTTGCGATTACTTGATTTGGGGTTCAAATATCTGTTTTTCTGTCCTTTGGGTCTCCATTCCTCTGTACGTATTACCTGTTGTAATGCTCATCTAGTTGATGGGGACATGTTTTATAATCACGGACCTCGGGGATTCTGAAATAAGACATTGATTATGTATTTATTTGATAGCTTTATTTTGAATCATGATTTCGACATGTTAAAATAATAATAATTATGAGCCTCTGTTTCAACAGAACAAATTGCACATGCGTTATCATTTTTTTACTATCATATTATAGCAACGCAATGGATTTCATTTTCTATTAGAATTTTCATAGTTTGATACTTGAATTATAATTAAACCTTATTTGTAAGACTGTAATGTATAATATATTAAAATGAGTTGAATTATTCATGGCATCGTTAAATTTACATTATGTTTATTTTTTTTATTTCTTCTACAAAAATTATTCAATTATTTAATACCAAATGCAATACGTACATAATCATTTGTTAAAACAAAACATTTTGTCAGACTAACTTTCTGTTTTATTTTTTAAACATCATTCTCACCTTACACCGATGTCAACACTGACACGGACACGATATGCGGACATATTAATTTTAAAAAATGTCATATTTCGACACGTTGAGACACATTTTGATATTAAATAATATTTTTAACATATATAATATAATTTATATTTAATAATTATAACAGTCCATAACAAGTCATATAACCAATTAAAAATTTAAATTTCATAACATAAATATAAACAAAAATAATTTTTCGTATTTTGTTAGTTTTTTTATATCAAATTTCATAACAGAAAAAAATTAATTTATAATTTTTTTTTTATGTTTAGTTAATAAAATAAAATAAAGATTAAAAAAAAAAAGTGTCAATGCGTATTGGAGAGTTGACTGCGTGTCAAAAAAACGTGTCGAAGAGTTAACCATGTGTCCCAAAATATTGACCGCATATTGAACGTGTGTCAGAGAATATGTCGGTATCCCAACACACATCTTTTACAAAAAATAGTTTGTCCGGCAGAGATTCTCACAGTACATTATCCAAAATCCAAATGCAATTTTTTTTAAGTTGTTAAAACTATTCTAAGCGCAAATTACCAAAACATGTTTTTAATAGTTTTCAATTGTCGTAACTCTTACCACCTGGTAAGTTTGCTCGTAGCTCAGTTCATTAAAGCTTAATGAGTTAAATTTTTAACTCCTTCACATTACACTTTCACAGATTCAACTTATTAATAATAATAATAGCAATGATAAATATACTTAATTTAATATATATTAACATTTTTTTTAATTTTTGGTTTGATTAAATTATTTTTAATTGTATATGTAGAAAAACATAAATTTTATTAAATTACAAATTTGATCTTAACTCATTAAATTCAATTGCCTACCAAAAAAATTAATATAAGACTCACTATTAATTCATTACAAATCAGAGTTGTTGATATTTTTTGATATAATGGTTATCAGATGAGGTGTCAAATTTTAAAAATTTGACACTGGTGTCAAAAAATCTTACCTCTCATATATATATATATATATATATATATATATATATATATATATATATATATATATATATATAATATAAAGGTTATATTTATAAACTCAATTGTTTACAAACTTTTATAACAAAATTTTAAGTGTTGATTTCAATCAATCTAACGATTATAATTTTATTAAAAAATAATAATTAATTAATAAACATAACTCAATTAATAAACATGATTCAATCAAAGGATCCTACACATACTCTTTTCCTTCTTGAGGACAAAGTGACTTTTTTTCTCTTTATATTATCCATCAATTTATCGATTACTCGAGACCATTGATTAAGTTGAAACAACCACTTACCAGTTGATCAGTGATCAAAGTGACTTCATAAAACCAAGTGATTGAGTGGAAGAGCAGTTTTTATGTGCTTCTATGTGGCTCAATTTTGTGGCTACCACGATATAATGAAAGGTAGAAAGAAATAAAAAATAATTGAGTTTCACAAACTAGATTTAATGAATTCAATTTCTTTCTTATCCCGCATTCATTAATCCAAATCCCATCCTGATTGAATTTGAAGAAACCTTCACAAGTTCACTCTTACATCTAGTACATGTGCAAAGTGGAGCAGGTTAATTACAAATAATTTTGTTATCCCACAATGAAGTTACTACTTTCTAGGCAGAAAAAGAGATGATTACTTTAATTACCGGGTCTAGGTCTGGGTTTGAGTGAGTATTTTGATGGAAGAAATGGAGTGTTGAAAGACAGTAAGAAACATAAACCCAACACTGTCAAGACAAACACTTGTGCATTCATTTCATTGCAAGAGCAATTCACTGTCTCAGCATGAAAGAAAGTGAGAAATCAAAAGTAAAAGGAAAGCCCTTGTAAAGAATTTTCAACAGTACTATCCACAGGGAGAAATAAATGAGTACTTTCATACTACAGGAGCAGTGCCATTGAACCTTTTCCAAGACCCAGAACATAAAAAAATAAAATGTAAATCCCTGATCTACTCATACTTTACAAGGGCAGCAAGCAAACCTCTGCAAGTAGGGAGAAAGACAAGTCTTTAAGAGCTCAGTATGATTTCCCACAATGTATCAAGCTTCCAGCACCCAAGAAAAGACCAAAAACAGCAGCACTTCCAAGTGTAGTTTGTCCAATATGCCTAATTTTCAAAAGTCCAGGTACCTGCATCTCAATGAATTAATAGATTGAAATGCTGCTCTGTATGACCTCCGAAAGAAGTAACTCATTTTCACATCCACAATAATGTGTATCAATATGTTACAATGTAATTAATCAGAATGTGATATGTAACAAAGAACCTCTGTATATTAGTATTTCTCACTGTTAAAAGACAAACAGATTTGTATTACATGGTTCTCCATAGTACTGCTATGGATCAGTGTTTACAATACTAAAAATAAGAAAGCAATACAGAAAATAAAAGCAACAATCAGGAACATTCGAGACGTCCTGTAAATCTCCCAATATGCTCCGATTAACAATGACCTCCGTGGTAGTGTTTTTCATCCCTTCCCTCGCGTACAAGAGCTATTCCAACTAACTCGTAATGCGTTGTTCCTCATCCTCCGCTAACAGACTTGCTGAGTCATCCGTAACAGGCTGAATGGGAGCAATCCAGTGTTGCCTTCCTTTGTCCCTCACATATACCTGCTTCAGTTGGGCCTTACGCAATTGGGCCCTATCAATACTCCCCCCACGACAAGAACCTTGTCCTCAAGGTTAAGATGAGGAAACTGAGTTTCAAGAGAAATAAAATCCTCCCATGAATTTTCAAAATCAGGTAAATTGCACCACTTAACCAAAACCTGAACCTTACCTTGAGCATCCCTTTTCCAATCCAAAATGTTTTCTGGTGTGACTTGCAATTCCCACCCTTCTGTCAGCATAGGTGGTAATGGTTGGGAACCCTTCACTAAAGGACTAGCCTTCTTTAACAGCGAAACATGAAAAACCAGGTGAATCTTACAGCTCTCCGGTAATGCTAAACGATAAGCCGTCACCCCAATCCTCTCAACAACCAGAAAAGGTCCATAAAAACGAGGACTGAGCTTCTCATTGATCCTAGTAGCCAATGTCCTCAACCGGTATGGCTGAATCCTTAAATAAACCGAATCCCCCACATCAAACTGAATATCCCTTCGGTGTTGGTCCGCTTGTGCCTTCATACGGTTCTGTGCTTTCACCAAATTATATTTCAATTCCCCCAAAATAGCCTCCCTTTCAGCCAACAAAGAAGAGAAAGCATCCACCTTCACAAAACTATTACCACTCTCAACAACTGAGGAGGATCAATGCCATATAAAGCTTTAAAAGGGGACATACCCGTGGACTCCTTAAATGTTGTATTGTACCAAAATTCAGCCCAATGCAACCATTTAGGCCAGCTCTTTGGGTGGGGGCTGCAAAAGCATCTCAAATAGGTCTCCAACCCCCTATTCACTACCTCCGTTTGACCATTCGATTGAGGATGGTATGCTGTCGAATAATGCAATTTTGTTCCAGTGGCTTTGAACAAAGTAGACCAGAACTTGCTAAGGAACACCTTATCCCTATCCGAAACCACCACCAATGGAAACCGATGTAAACGAACCACCTCACGGACAAATAGTTTAGCCACTTCCTTGGCAGAATAAGGATGTGATAATGCCTGGGCATATTTTGTGAGCCGATCCACAACCACAAAGATGGTGTCAACCCCACAAGCCTTAGGTAACCCCCCAATGAAATCCATTGAAATTTCAGTCCATACCTGACTTGGAACCGGCAATGGCTGCAGCAGCCCTGCAGGAGACAAGTTCTGAATTTTGTTTTGTTGACAAATAATGCAAGCTGCAACATATTGCTGAATGGTCTTGCGCATTCCTTCCCGATAAACCACCCCCAAATTCTTTTGGAAGTCCTCGAACATCCTGAATGTCCACCAACAGTTGAATCATGGAACTCAAGTAAGATGACAGGTATAAATTTAGAAGTCTTAGATAAGACCAACTTATCTTTATAAAACAGCCTGCCCCCAACCAATTTGAAACCGTCGTGTACAGTGGGATTCAAGAGTAAATCTTGTGTAATCTGATGCAGTTTGGGATCCTCTTGCACCTCTTTTTCAACTTCATCCAGTTGTGGTAATTGTACCTGCGAGATCATCATACAATGCATGTTTCTAGATAAGGCATCTGCTACTACATTCTCCCTTCCGGGTTGGTATTGAATTTCAAAGTCAAAACCCAATAATTTGGACACCCATCGCTGCTGATCCTCTCCCAATACTTGTTCCAACAGAAACCGCAAGCTCCTTTGATCCGTTTTGACAACAAAGTGCCTACCCATTAGATATGAACGCCACTTCTGTACCGCGAAGACAATAGCCATCAATTCTTTCTCATAAACTGATTTGTTCAATGCTCTTTTGGAAAACCCCTTACTGATGTAGGCCAATGGACGGTTATCCTGCATAAGGACAGCCCCAATTCCCTTGCCCAATGCGTCTGTCACTACGGTGAAAGTCTTCTCAAAATCCGGTAATGCCAGAGTAGTAATATTGACCATAGCTTGCTTTAACAATTGAAACGTCACCTCGGCTGTTTGATCCCACTGGAAAGCCTCTTTTTTAAGCAAATTGGTCAAAGGTTGAGCTACCTTACCATAATCCCTTACAAATTTCCGGTAGTAGCCCATGAGCCCAAGGAAACCCCTCAGCTCCTTCACATTCGTAGGGCTCGGCCAATTCACCATGGCCTTAACCTTCTCAGGATCTGCACTAACCCCATCTGCTGTGATAAAGTGGCCCAAGTATTCGATGCGATTCTGCCCAAATCTACATTTTTTTTGTTAGCAAACAATGCATGCTGTCTGAGAACAGCAAACACTTGTGTCAGATGCGCAAGGTGCTCCTCGGGACTCTTGCTATACACTAGGATATCATCAAAAAACACCAAAGTGAATTTCCTTAAGAACGGTTTCAACACCTCATTTATGAGTGCGTTGAATGTAGAAGGGGCATTCGTCAGCCCAAACGGCATGACCAAATATTCATAATGGCCTTCCTGGGTCCTGAACGCCGTCTTCGGGATATCTTCTTCCTTCATCCTAATCTGATGATACCCGGATTTAAGATCAAGTTTGCTGAACACCTTGGATCCTCCTACTTCGTCTAACAATTCTTCCACCACTGGTATAGGGAACCTGTCAGGGACAGTAATTTTGTTCAAAGCCTGGTAGTCCACACAAACTCGCCAGCTACCATCTTTCTTCTTTACCAAAATGACGGGGCTGGAATACGGACTAATACTCGAACGAATCATTCCATCACGCAGTAATTCAGCAACCAATTCCTCTACTTCCGTCTTCTGATAGTAAGGGTATCGGTAAGGACGAATGTTAGGTACCTGACTCCCTGTTTTCAGAGTGATTGTATGATCCCTGGTGCGTTGTGGTGGCACCCAGTGTACTTTTCTGAAAACATCTGCAAAATCCTCCACCAAGTCCTCCAGCTCCTTCCAGCCTGTAGGGAAAAATGCATTCTCCCCCATAATCTCTTCGCTGAGCCCTTCCTTTTCAATATAATACCCCTGACCCGTTTGTAATAAAGCCTTGGACATGGATTTAAACGAAGAAATGGTGCGGGAGAGAGAAGGATCACCTTTAATCATGGCCTCCTCGCCCTGCGTCTCATACCTGAGGGTCATCTCTCGGAAGTTAGCTCTAATCTCTCCCAATTCTATCAACCAATCCATACCCAACACGATGTCAGCCCCCCCCCCCCCCAGCTCAAACATGTACAAATCTTGTGTAATTTTCTGGTCCTGAATCCCTATCTCCACCTTCCTACAAACCCCACTGCAATCCACCTTGTGTCCGTCCCCTACCTCAACTCGGTATAGGGGCGTCTTCTCCACTTCCCATTTCAAACGATGAACCACCTCAGCCTTTACAAAGTTGCTGGAGGCACCACAATCGATGAGCACCACCAACTTCTCATTACCCACCGTACCCCAGACCTTCATAGACTGATTTGAGGTGAACCCAAGCATGCTCTGTAGGGTTAATTGCAGAGCCAGGTCCTCATCACTGCGAACTTGCTCCAAAACGGCTTCGGCGGCCACCTCCACTGCGTCACCGTCGGCATCCCCTCCATCATCGAGGATTAGAAGATGGAATTGCTTCCCTGTGCACTTGTGTCCAGGGTGCCATTTATCCTCACAACGAAAACATAACCCCTTGCTTCTACGGTCAGATGCCTCTTCGTCAGAAATCTGCTTGAAGCTACTACCCTGGCTCTCCTCGCGTCGATTTGCGGCTGAGTTTCCAGACGCCATAGTCACTCCTTCACGAGTTAGGGCATTAGAGCTATTGTTGGCTATGACAATACCCTTGCCCCATTCAGTGTTATGTTTTAATGGGTTAGCTGAATTGGATTTCCCCAATCCAGGCTTAAAATAATGCCCACTATTTTTGTAAGGCCCATTGGCTTGTTTCGGCCCAAAATACCCCACTCCTTCCTCAGTCCAGGCCAAATTTCGTTGATCAATTTTTTGGCCCAATTTCATCATTGCCGCTAACCTCAGCCCAGGAGTCATCAAAACTTCTTCCCTGATACTAGGCTTAAGACCACTCAGCCACTCGCCCTTCAGCACTTCCTCATCTGCATACCTCATGGTGCCCACCACCGCTTCAAACTCCGCGCGAAAATCTGCCACCGTGCCTTTTTGTTTCAACGAATAAAGTGGACCATATGGGTTGTCTAGCATCTCCGGTTGGAATCGACATAGTATTTCCCTTCGAAATTGGGTCCACGTTGCCGATGGATTGTCCAACTCCCACCACTGATACCAACTCAGAGCTTCACCATCGAGGACCAACATCACGGCTGGTACCTTCTCTTCATCTTCCATTTCATTCACCTGAAAATAGTGTTCCACCTTCCCCAACCACGCGTACGCATTTGGCCCAGAAAACATAGGAATTTCTAGTTTACGTCCTCGTGGGTCCCCATAATGCGTTCCACGGTGACTCCCATGGGATCCTTCAGACCCATGCCTTCTTCCTTCTCGATTCTCATTGTTTCTGGCCGTTCGAAATTCTGCCGATCTGAGCTGATGCAATCCAGCCCCCAGTTCTCTTAACTGTCGTATGATTTCCGCTTGATTCGCATCGTTAGCCTCCATACGACGTATTAATTCTTCTTGGCCTTGTTCACTACGAGCTAACCTTTTCTCAATTCCTTCCATGCTTCTCGTCCAGACCATAACCCAGCGCCCAGAACGAGCTTTGATACCAAATTGTTACAATGTAATTAATCAGAATGTGATATGTAACAAAGAACCTCATATTAGTATTCTCACTGTTAAAAGACAAACAGATTTGTATTACTTGGTTCTCCATAGTACTGCTATGGATCAGTGTTTACAATACTAAAAATAAGAAAGCAATACAGAAAATAAAAGCAACAATCAGGAACATTCGAGACGTCCTGTAAATCTCCCAATATGCTCCGATTAACAATGACCTTCGTGGTAGTGTTTTTCCTCCCTTCCCTCGCGTATAAGAGCTATTCCAACTAACTCGTAATGCGTTGTTCCTCATCCTCCGCTAACAGACTTGCTGAGTCATCCGTAACAGGCTGAATGGGAGCAATAAAGTGTTGCCTTCCTTTGTCCCTCACATATACCTGCTTCAGTTGGGCCTTACGCAATTGGGGCCTATCACAATATCAGTACAAAAGATTTAAGATGCATGCTTTGACAACCGAAAGTAATCTTTTCTTTTCTTCTTTTTTTTTTAGGCCGAGCTGGAATCAGGATCCTCTAAACTGCTGGATATGCAAGTGGTAACTAAGAACTGAGAAAATCAAGTGACTTCTCACAAATCCATAAATTTTTATTTAGATGCTTGTTTATAACAGCACAATCGGTTGGCTGATTGATAGCTTTTCAACATAAAATTATTATTATGAGCATATCCATCAGATAGGCACAAAAACCCAGGTAATTGAACTCAACGTCTATGGAAGGATAGCCAGAATGGAGTGCCCTATGAATAGGATATTGTCAAGTTTTGAATTGCTAAATCCATTATACATCCATAAAAAACAAAAGACTTCCTATGAATAAAAAGAGAATTAACAAGAACCAGATAGTATATATTTGTTATACAAAATAATGATAGACTTTAATAGTCCCACCTTACTACATTCCTTGTTTGCTTCCAATGCACAAAATTCAGCATGTTCAAGAATCTGCTTGCATGTTATTTTAAGGCTCTAAGAGCAAATGTACACTGATCAAACAAGCAAACCAAATACATGAACAAACCAGTAAACTGTGTCACCTGCAACAGAGTGAACTCAACCACAACCATCTCACTTAGAAGACAAATCTGCGCTAGGTTCATTAATTAAGAAGCACATCTTCAGCTCCATAAAGGCTCAGCTTAGCAAGTGGCAATGCAAGTAGATTCTTGCACTTTCTCGATCTTTAACAAACCAGTTTAAGAGAAATATAAACAAACATGAAATACATTGTCGTTCCTTGTATCTTAGATGATTTCTTAGAAATAGTTTCCATATTTCCTTGTATTTCATTATTAGTTACCTAATTTTAGGAGTCCCCTATTTAGTATAAATAGGGCTTATTACATTGTCTTTTGTATCACATCATTATAGAATACTCTTCAATCATTTCTTTTTCTCAATCTATACCTAAATCCCTACAATTTCAACAGTGTCTTAAATGATTTCTTAAAATTGAAAATTTTCTCATATTTTATCATTTATTCCTTATTTAATTAGGTTCAAGAATCTATTATTACTAATAGATAGTGGTCAGTGCTTGTCTTTTGTATCACATCTTAATATATCACATCTTAATAATCCCTACACAGAAGAATATTGTTCAAAGTCTCTATTCTCTCATTTCCTCCTTCCCTATGTAAACCCCTATCATTTCAACATGGTATTAGAGCCATGGCATCCACCTTGATAATGGTTTCTCCATCTCATTGTGTTGAGTTCATAGAACTCAATTACCATCAAACCCATATTTTGCAATTTTGCTTGCTTCCAACTCTCCTTTGTAAGTTTTGCCGTATTGAGTTTTTAGTCTCAATCTCTTGTTTCATTGTGCATCATTGCTGTTGTTCAAACTTATTTCCGCATACTGGCGTTTTTCTAGCCCATCTTTATTCAAATTGGCTTTTCTACAAATATGCTCTGTCCCTTCTATTCTCTCATCTCCTCCTTCCTACCTATATCCCTATTATTTCAATATATACTAAAATTTTTAAAATAAGGGCAAACCATGGTACACAAGGCTCTCCGACTTGGCAATGGTAGGGTGAGGGTCGATTATCTGCAACCTTACCCTTATATTTTTGTAAAGAGACTACTTCTCAGACTCGAAACCTTGATCTTGCAATCACACAAAAGCAACCTTATAGGTGCTCTAAGGCATGAGTATGAAAATTTTATATGGGGAAAATCCCATCAATAAGGAGAGCCAAACAGGAGTTCTACATAATATCACTATTGAAATAGAGAACAAGATCAGATGACATACCTTATACCTAATAGCCTCATATGTTCCATACACGGCACCTGGAAAGAAGCCAAGAGGTAAGGTAAAGTTGTTTTGAAATTTTTAACTGCAAGTGAATTAGATCCAATAAAAAAAATTAAAAAACCAAGATGAATGTATATAGATGCATCTGACTATAACATTTCAGCAGTTGATAGTTAATACACGATTTAACACAACCAGCTGGCTGAAAAGTCCTCTATTTTTTAAGCAAGATACCAGATAATTCAAACTTCATAAAATTTCACAGATGGAGACATAAACATTATAGACTTATGATTAAGTGTCAAGCTCAACTGACTTAAACAGCTGAAGAACCAAATGTACAGGAGAATATAAGTATATCTAACATCTAGCATTAAGTACAAAATAAAATGCAAATCATTGTGGGAGAAAGCACTCAGTCCCATTTCCTTTTTACTAAGCACAAATTTCAAGATTTTATTAAATAGATCCAAGGCTTATCATACAAATATTTCATATGTGTAGAATTGAGAGACTTCCATAGGAGTGACCTCTTGTAACAACCTTGTTGAAGAATACATAATCAATGTCTTATTTCAGAATCACCAAGGGCCAGGATTATAAAATACCTCCAGATCAACTAAATGAACATTACAACTGGTAATAACAAATTACAGAGGAATGGAGACCCAAAGACAGAAAACTAAGCATGAATATTCACCATTAAATTTATTTATTTGGTCACAAAGGAGGTCTAGGTGTGGAGAGGGAGAAGGTAGGCTAAAGTTGGCACAAACTGACAAAGTAGGCCTTGGTGGAATTGAACCCTGTACCAAGTAGTTTCCAAAGATACCACTGGTGCTAAGGCTCTTGGGCCAAACATCAAATTTTTTTAGCTAAGAATAATTAGGTACAAAAAATAAGGAGGAATGGACACTCAAAAATCTGTTGCTTTGGCAAGTCTAGCCACACATTAAAGTTTTTATACTAAGAAGACAAAGGGAAAAGCATAAAATAAGTAATGTCTTAACTATTCACTATTGATTGACCTGAAGATAAATATACAAAGCAAGATTTTTCTACAGACTGACATCTCAATCTTGTCTCGGTTATATTTTGGACAAACTGACAAAGTAGAGTTAATAGTACAAAGGTCCATTGAAACCAGAGCCTGAAATAAACTAATACCCACAAAAGCCCATCACCAAAATGTTTCATGTTTCGTGTGTGTAAAGTCTTCTAATGTGTCAGGACTCAGGGAGGCTGCACTGGTGCTAGATTGACTCACAATATGAAACCATGTCACGAACTGAATAGCTCTAAATGGAAAAAAGAAGTTCAAGTTACTCGCTTCAAACTAAAACTTTTAGCAGGCTTCTGCTAAAGATTCACTAGAACAATCATTAAGGATTAAGAAATGGCAAGTTAAGTTGAATTGTGGGATGTGGACAATCCCAATAACACAAACTCTCTTGATTCCACTTCAACAAGAGCATCATCAGCAAATGAGAGAGACAACACATGAAGAATTTAAACTATTGTCTAAGGCTAAACATGTCCATCCCAATTAGACAAACGGATAGAAGAATGTGATTCTCTAATAGAATCAGTGTAATTGAACTTCAAAGTTCAAAGCAAAACCAAAACAAATGCCTAAAGCATTGAAATTACAGGATCAAAGTGACACTATGTAATGCTAGAATAATATATCAGCCCAAACGAATTTATTAAAAATTATTAGCTTGTATAATGTACATAAAATCACATATTATGTTATAGGGTTTATCATCTATCATTTAACATGACCACAAAAATTTTCCTACACACAACATTTTGTGGGGCCCGCAGCAAAAAAAAAAAAAACTTCGGCACGCAAAACGAATCTCTATAACATAACACAATCACTTTTCCTACAACATAACTCTTATAAAACCCTATGTTATATGCGTGAATGATAGCCCAAATTAAAAGAAAAGAAAACGTTAACCAAAAAAAGAAAAGAAAAGAAAACAAATAAAAGTGGCAAGAGATTATAATGAAATACACCCACTAGAACATAGACCCTAAAAAGAGAGTTGAAGTTGCACTAGAAATAAAATAGATATAAACTAAAAGGTAACATAGAAGGTGAATAACAGATATGTATGACTGACCAACGGCGCCGCCAACAGCGCCGCCGACGGCAACGCCGATGGTGACACGAGCGAGACAACTGTCCTTCGCCATTAGAAATCGATTTTTTCGTGTGTTGTGGTCTGCGACACTATGACTTGTCGTTGGAGAAAACTCTGAAACCAAACCAAAGTATGCTCCTTCCTTTTATCCCTAGCATCGGCGCCTGCGGTTACCGCTAAGGCCACTCTTTGTTTTTTTTTTTTTTCATATTTTTTTTTTTAAGTTTCGTGCCTAGTAAGATATTTGTCAGTGTGTGATTTCAATTTTCACGTGAATGCGAAAGGTTAATAATTGATACAGAAATCAACCGCAAAAAAAATTAAAATATTATTAATTTAATAAATAATTACGAATACTGTTTCAAAATTATATATAGATCTATTGCACTCATTCATGCTCAAATTAGGCGTGACACCCAAGACATTCACGCTTAATTTAGGCGTGAATCATCTGGTGTTGACACGTGGCAAAAAGAGTCAACTTAAGAACCATAAAGCTTTGGAAAGTCATAACTTTTGACTCAGTATTCGAATAAGGTAATTCTTTTTTTGATTCCACATAACTTTTCGAGATCTACGCAATGACATCTAATTTGATATATTTTATCTCTCACAAATATAATTCAAATTTGCAATAATTGTATTATATAGTGTATTACTAAAAAAATTAAAAAAAAAATATTAATAAGAAAAACAAAATAAAGATTTAATTTGTGATTTAAACTCAAAAATCAATTTGAAAAATCTGTATTAATAAAGAAAATAATTAAATAAATATTCTAAACACTTGGTAGAATATTATATAAATTTGTATATATTTTAATAATTAGATAAATAACCTTGTACACTATTTTTTTCAAACACTTGGTAGAAATATATATTTTAATATGACATTAAGTATCCTTATTTATAGAAGAGTTAATCTACTTTGGAGCCATCTTTATAGTATCATTGTTGCAAATTTGAATTGTGTTTATGAGAGATAAAATATATCAAATGAGATATCATTGCGTAGATCTCGAAAAGTTATGTGGAATCAAAAAAATTTTACCTCATTCGAATACCCGAGTCAAAAGTTATGGCTTTATAAAATTTTACGGTTAAACTATTAATTTTTTGTGCCATGTGTCAACACCAGACGAGTCACGCCTAATTTAGGCGTGAATGCCTTAAGAGTCACGCCTAACTTAGGCGTGAATAGTCACGCCTAATTTGGGTGTAAATGAGTGCAATAGATTCGTATATAGGTTCAAAACAGCAACTTATTGGTAATTATTTATTAAAATAGTAATATTTTAATTTTTTTACCCGGAAATCAACGGTAATTAAATGGATTGTAAAAGTGGTAAATTTTTTGGTGATAAATATATTCTGCCCCTTAAAAATAAGATTAAATATACTTTTATTTATGGGACCGACTATACTTATTCTATGTGACAAAACGAGTCACGATAGTGCAGATACAACATTAAAAAAAAAAAAAAAAGTGTCGTGTTTAGGGTAGTTATCAAAAAAAAAAAAAAAATTCAATTTAAATTTGTGATTTTTATAATTTTACGATTTTTTTTAATCAAAATGATTTCATCAAAAGCCTAAACGCTTTTACGATTTTTTACGATTATTTTTACATTAGAATTTTACGTTTTACGATTTTTTATCCTTCTTCCGATTTTAGGTAAAATCACGATTTTTTTTCTCATGAATTAAAATGAATTGTGTCCGAGTTTGGAAAAGTTATACGAATTATTATTGTAATGTGTCACAGGCTGACCTGGTTACCCAATATGCCAACCCAAATTGTCTAAAACAAAAAAGATAAAAAATTTGGTGGTTTTTACACAACCGGTTGTGGGTCATGTGTCAATCCGTCTATAATTTATTCGATTTTTTTTCTCAATTTTAAATTTTTTAAAAAATAAATTTTATTTTTGTGTGTCAACCCGTGTGACCCGCGACTAGTGGTGGGTCGTGTACGGTTTGAATTTTTGGCCCGTAAATGAATACATGTTGTACTTGAGTTGAATGGTTTCAACCGTTGATTAGACCATAACACGACATGAACTCGGCCCGTCAACAACCTTTGCCACCGCTACTTTTTACAACCTCTTCTAGAATTGTAAGATCAATTTTAGCTCAAGAAATCTTGATTTTTTTATCTCTTTCTTCAGTCTCATCTTTTTTCTATTCCCTTTCTTTCTAGGTTTGAGAAAAACACCTTCATCCTTTCGTTCATCTCTCCGTAACTCTTTCCCTCTTTAGTTTTAATAAAAAAAAAATCTAAACCTCTTCCATTTACAAAGGTATTCGAAAATGTGAGGAAGTGAAGGCGACTTTACATGTGAATTAAAATCATGAGTTTTCATCAATATCATTTCAACCCATTTTACATGTTTTCTATTTAGATGATTTGTGTAATGGAGGGGGTGAGATGAAATGTCACGCAAATATTGCTATGATTGTATTTGAACAGTCTAATGTTCATAGATGTATCCCATGGAGGATATAGTATGTTGATATACGGGTGCTTTTAGTAAACAAGGTAGGAACCATGGCTCCATAGGAGCTTCCCAGGTGCTATATGTAGAATAAGGGGTCGTGTCCATGGCTATGGTAGTAGCAACTCATAAGATGAATAATGAGAAGATAAGATCTCCCTTTTCAACAGGGGAATAGGGTATATATAGAGGAGAGTTGTTCCCTATGAAACAAGTCTTGTCGCTGGACAAGACAATGCTGCCAGTGTAGGGGTATGGGGTGCCCTTCTAGAATATTCTAGAAGTGGACTATCTTATTGGGCTTGACCTGTTGAGCCTATGTAGGAGCCAACCAAAATAAAAGCCCCCCAACTTGGTAGCCTGCGAAGTCAGGGTGCCAAGGTGTAAGGGAATTTAAGGCGGCCTATCCATAGTGCGTAGTGTTGAAAGTAGGATACAATGACTCATCTAAACGGTAATAAGCCTTTATGCTGGCTTTCAAGATTTTATTTACTTTACTATCTTCAAGTATAGTTTTCTAACCATCAAATACTGAGTGCTTCAAGAGAATCTTCTATTTGTAATTGTATTGATATTTTGACCAATTGGCATTTGAGTAAGCTTGTTGGAGGGAAAGCCCTTCTAAATCTTGAATGATCTAACCGATCGGTAATACATCGGCCTGCATATCTTGTTTATTTTGCAGCCTTCAAGTATAGTTTTCATATCAACAAAACTTTCTCCAAGAGAATCTTCTATTTTTGACTTGCAACTATGTCAATGTTCTAGTCGGTCAGCGCTTGAATAAGCTTGTATTGGAGAGATGATTCTTTTGAATATTGCTTTTAGGTGGGGCCAAGCATTTAGTATTAATTTATCAAAGCATCATGAAGAAGTTCTTTTTTGCTTTGTGACATTTTGTCTTATATAGTAGGGTTGCCCACGTAAGATAGAAAAATAATAAGGAATACTTCTGAATGATTCAAACCAGGATTGAAGATATAAGCTTCTAGAGCAAATAATGGCCCAACAGGAAATATATTGACCGGAATAGAAGTCATGATCATCAGATGATATGCTGATTAGAATGAAATGATATCCTGATCTTTAAATAGTAAGAAAAATGGTGATTGAAATAAAAGTCATGTCTGGATCTTCATATAGTAAATGATATGCCGACCATGAAAAAATGATGTCCTGATAAAGTCGCTAATAATGTGCTCCAAGAGAGGAAAGATAGAGATTTTGGTAATAAATATGTATTCCCTTCTTCAGCAATAAATATTGTTGGTGGCGTAGACCGGAAAGAAGCGATATCTGACGGGAATAAAGTCATGATCAGATAATTATTTGTAGATCATTAAACTGTCATAACTAATATAATAGCATTTAAAAATAATAAATACATGCCTAGATAGGACGTTGGCCACCAAAATCTTTGTAGTCGACCGAAATTAACCTTTGCCATTCGAGAAATCTTCATAGGTGATCAAAATGGACCTTTGCTATTCGAGAAATCTTCATAGGAGACTGAAATGGACCTTTACATTCGGGAAAAATTTTATAGGGGACCGAAATGGACTTTTGCCATTCGGGAAATCTTCAAAGATGACCGAAATGGACCTTTGCCATTCTAGAAATCTTTATAGGCGACCAAAATGGACCTTTGCTATTTGAGAAAAATTTTATAGGTGACTGAAATAGACTTTTGCCATTCGAGAAAATTTTAAATGAAGGAGAAGATATAAAATATTCAAGGAGAAGATATAAAATTTCAAGACAAAAATCACTTGATTTGGTGCTTGGATAACTAAGTTAGGAGAGAAAGAAAACTTGAAGTGTTTTGGCCATGGAGGGGGTGAGGGCTCGGTTTTTAGAGAGAGAAAGGGAGGGGAAGATGAACATGAATAGTGGTTTGCCATGTGGCTTAAGTGATTTAAGTGGGGTGGGTCCCACCACCACCTCACGCGATTTCAAACTAATTCGAATTTCCCTCCGATTCCACTAAACGTCCATAAATTCATAACCTATTTAGAAACTCTAATTTTTAACATTAACCATTGTCCTTTAATTACCCTTGATCAGATGAATCCTGAGTTTTCCGGTCGTTCGAAAAAATGCAGTTTTAAGCTGTTACGTGCGCCATAGGCACGCTTCCCCAAACTTACTAATTTCCGTCAATTTTTATCCGAAATCATATTTCCTAGTCCTATACACCATCTATAACTTGTATTCAAAACCTAGAGCTCAAAATCCAATCGGCACGTTTTACGGTGCAACTGTACCGCAGTATTTTTACCCCGGTAAAACACTATTCACTGAATTTTCTGAAACTTGCCTATCCACACAATTTTTCGTTCTGAATCCAATTCTAGGGTTATTTTTATCATTTGAGACTTTCTACTCAATTTTACCTTTCTAGTGTTGTGTGTTTGGCTAATTACCATTTTACCCTTCCTTTGCATTTTGACCTAATTTTCAGGATTTTCACTCATCTTTCCCTTTAATCCATGTTTAATACATTAATATATAATTTAGAAATGCGAGGTGTTATATTCACCCTTCCTTTTTGAAATTTTGTTCGCAAAATTAAATCATACATGTCCGCTAACTCATGATACAGCCGGAGAATCTCATCCTCCCGTTCCCAAGTAGCCTCTTCAGGTGTACGTCATTCCCATTGAATCTTTAGCATGGAATAATTTTACTTCTCAGCCTCTTTTCGCTGCAATCGAGGACCTCAATAGCGC